AGATGAAAGTGCTCTCCTCGTCCATTCCACAGGCTGGCTTTGAAGAACCTAAACGACATTTACAAACTGCATGAGGCTGTCTAATAAAAGGTGCCAGTCCAAGGCCCTCCACGGACAGCTGAGGCTTGTAGCGATGTTCTGGCCCAGAGCCGCTCAGTGGCTACCGGGAGCCATGGCTCTCTGCCCCTCTGTGACACCCTGTCCCTCAGGGTACCTGCTGCATGAGCCTCTTTGGGGCCATCCCAGAAGATAAGACCCCACCGCTGTCTCTGACACAAACGACCTCTTGCCTGCCTGGCCCAGGCCAGGGTCAGCCTCTGAGGATAAGTTCCAGCCCAGGTGCCAGGCAGAGCAGGAACCCACAGCCGCCTGGACCACCCGAGCCCTCCGAGCCCACACAGGCTGGGCTGGCACCTGGGAAATGAGAGATGCGCAGTTCGCAGCATGTGCTCCAAGGAGGTTTATTCGTGTCCACACTCTTGCCCAGAACAAGGGGCCGAAAGCATCCTGATGGAGAAGCAAGGCAACCACACGCTGCCCGCCAGGCGCCCAGGGAGACGGCGATGTTCCTGCTCCAAGCACAGCCCTTTGCCCTGTAAGTCTCCTCCTCAGAGGCAGGGCAGCCCAGTCCATAGAGAAATGAGGTCCTGGCCCCACTGGCATGGCTCAGTGGTTGAGCATTGACCTATGAACCAAGAGGTCATGGTTCAATTCCCGGTCAGGCACATGCCCTGGTTTCGGGCTCGATCCCCGGTGTGGGGCACGCAGGAGGCAGCCAATCAATGGTTCTCTCTCAACACTGGTGTTTCTGTCTCTCTTTCCCTCTCCCTTCCTCTCTGAAATCAATAAAATGTATTAAAGAAAAGTTATAGTTCCTGGAGGTTTCTTGTCCTGTCTGACATCTGCTGGGCCCAGACCCTCCGTGTGCTCCCCGCTTGGCCAGCATCAGCGACCACGCCTGGCAGTCAGCCCACCCTCACCCGCAGCGTCTGTGCTCCTAGAAATAACTAAAGTCTGGAGCGGACAAACTCTATCAGGTTCCCCAACTGCTCCTCCAGGCGCTGCTCGTCTCCGTCGTTCTCGATGACCCAGTCGAAGTCCCCAAAGTTGTCCAGGCCGCATTCGGACTCGCCGTCGTCCACTCCTGCAGAGGAGGCAGGGCGAGGTCAAGCCCGCTCCTTCCGGACAAGCGCGGGCGTGGAGGCCTGCTGGCCCCAGGCGGAGCGCCCGCTCTCGGCCTCTCCCCTTCCACTCCAGAGCCAAGCTCCCCCCACCCCACGGAGGGTACTTCCCGACCCCCTGATACATCCCGAGGGCAGGTTCAGGAGCCCGCAGCCACCTGAGCCTCGGAGGGTTCTGCTGACTGAACTCTTCACCTGCCACTTCCTACAGAGGGTGAACTGGGTCATCTAAGCCACAGGCCACCCGAAAGGGATTTTCCACTTGACGTGAAGCTCGGTGCGCTGCTTGCTTTCTATCCCTAAGCCTCTGGGTGCCATCCTCATTGGACAGTGAGAAGAGTAATATCGGTATCACCGGGCAGGTCTATTGTGTCTGTAAAGTGAGTGGCAAAGTGTTTAGCGCAGGCCCGGCCTGTGGTGAGTGCCAGAGAGACGAACAGCCATCAGGAGGGGTTGCACCCACTGGATTTGAACCTCCCCGAGTCACAGTGACCGAGGGCAGGAGGCTCGCTCCGCTGAGGCTGCCTAGCACAGCTTCCTCTTGCTCCCGCCCCCCACTCTGTTAATCAAAAAGGAGGGAGGTGCCAGGCCTGCCCGGCCCCACTGTCAGCCCCGACTGGGCTGGGGTGGGTCCCCGCCACTCCTCCAGAACCCACTGGCCTAGAAAGGACAGCCCCGGAAAGAGTACCCCCAAAATCATAGGGAACCTCTACTCCCCCAGGACGCTGCCCCCACCACACTCCACTTTCTCACCTGGGGCACTCCTGAGTCTCAGATTCCCTTTCCTAACCCCTCGCTCGCTCTCCCACACCCTTCCAGGGAGAGAGCAGATGACCTAGAACCTGGGGAAAGGCGGCCTGGTCTGCAGGTGGGGTGGTCAGCCGTGTTCCGAGCCTTGGGGGCAAAGGTTGTGAGC